GGAAAATAATATGAAAAAGAACATATATATAACTGAATCACTTCACTGTATAGCAGAAATTAACACAACACTGTAAATCAACTATACTCCAGATCAACTATACTCCAATAAAATTTTTAAAAATTAAAAAAAAAAAAGAAATCTCTCTTCTTCCTTCTCTTTTCAACAAACTCTGGGCATTTCCCCAAGTTCAGTGAATAGCTCACATGACACTGTTTTCATGCTCTCCTCAGAAAAGTGACCTCTTTCAGGAGTTTTATGGGTCACCCCCTTGAGACAGACACCACCTCTCTCTCTCCTGGCCTGACAGTTCCTTTGAATGCACATCATTTTCTAAGTGGGTAGGAAGAAAATCAGTATGAGGAAATCATAAAGGGACAAATTTCAGTTCAATAAGAGAAAGACATTTGTAATACCTGGAGTAACCAGCAATGGATGAGACAGTCTGTTTTCTGAGGTGGAGGGGCTGGAGGTACCCTAGCAAAGGCAGCCATCTGCCTGAAGGGATGGAAGAGCTGATGGGAACTGGAAAGGTAAAAGCCCAGGGTCACAGACACGTAAAAGCAAGCCACGGTCTGGGCCACAAAGAGAGAGGCAGAGTGAGGAGGTGTCAGCTGGTGGTCATGAAGAAAAAGTCAAGCAAACATGTCATAAAAAGGGGAAGTTAAGTATCGGGCACCTGAACCCAAAGCCATCAGGTATCAGCAGGTAAATCCCTGAGGAGCTCAAGGAAGTCTACCAGACAACTCAGAGCTATTTGCATAGGGCTTCCCACAAGGGCAACACATTTCGTCTGATGGTGTGTTAAAAGCACCACTTGGCACCCAACAACAGACCTGGGGATGTTAACCTTATATTTCAATAGTAACAAATACTGCAATGATTTCAGAATATTCTTCAGAATATTCTGTATTCTTATACTTGTTGCTTTATTGCCTAAAATTCCATTCCCCCATTGGAAAATTAAGATCCTAATTAGCCATCAAAGTTCAGTTCAATTGAAATTGTTTCCAAGAATCCTTCTTGCATGTCTCCAGACAGAGTTAATTTATTTCCCCCACTCTCTATCTCAACAAAGGACTAAGATTGTGCTTCTGATCAAAGCATGATGACTAAGGAATAATTTACTACGAAACACCTTAATTTAGAAGTTGGGTATATATGCATCTTCCAAGCTTGAATCGGAGGTTGTATCTGATCTATTCCTTGGCCTTCAACATTGCCTCAGCTGTAGTAGTCACCCATAAACATTTTGTTAAATTGAAAAAAAATTAGGAGAGTCAAACGACAGAAAAGGCACTTGAGTTATGATCTCTAATTCCCTTGCAAACCTGAAATCCTATGACGTATTCTGCCCCTTTAAAACTTCTCTAAACAATGCTATATGCCTGCCCATTGGCTGGCTGAAATAGAAAGGAATTACCAACTGTGGCATGAGATCAAACAAAGCTAACAGTTCCAACGTTGAGACTCAGGGCACTAGACCCATGATGACAAGTTCTAAGGCTATAAACCCCAGTGTATGTGTCTGACTTATAGAAGTTATTCAACTTATCATGAATGAATGAAGTGACTGCTAAATGGTCACCCCAAACCTTACAGCCACTAGGCTCGAACTGATACTGACAGAAAAGAAAATCTCTCATTGATTTTCCAAGATTCATCTTTTCCCACAAAAATGAGAATTCTCAAAACAAGAATTCTTGACACTAAATATTTGCCTTTTGCAAAGGAAAAAGAAAAAAGTTTACAGCATACATCAGAAATTCAGAGACAAGCAAAACTCCCAACAACACCTGGTCCTTCCAAACAAAGCATGTTACCCCCTCATCGGAACCTCAGAGTCCTGAGAGGCCTGAAGCAAAATCACGTGCACAGTGAGAGGAAGGACAGAAAAAGAGTCAAGATTTCTCAAGAGTTCTGTCAGAAACGATAGGATCCACATCTTCTTGGGTCTCAGTTTCCTCACTTGTGAAGAGAGGGAATTAATTCATTCAGCAAGTATTTGAAAAGCTGTAACTAGATGCCTGGCACCAGGTTTAGACTCAATGATCTCTTAGGTCCCTTTCAGCTCTGAAAAACTTATAATGCTTAGAGTCACACTTAATAGAGGTTCTTTTGGCTCTGACCTGAAGATCTGGCTGGAAACATAAACAGATTTCTACATAAAAACACACATTTACCAGCTATAATTTGGACTTGGCAACAGGAGTTTTCACCATTGGCTGGGAGAAAAACGTGCAGAATTTTCTCCTGTGATTACATTACTCTGAGTTCCATCGTAGCTCAAATCTAAAGTTGGGGCAAATATGGCCAGAGTGGGACCAAGCCTCTATCACATCACATCACCACCACACAAGGAAAGGACATGCCCATTTTCTTCTTCTTCTTTTTTTTTTTAAATTTATTTTATTTATTTATTTAGTTTTGGCTGTGTTGGGTCTTTGTTGTTGCACGTGGGCTTTCTCTAGTTGTGGCGAGCGGGGGCTACTCTTCCTTGTGGTGCGCAGGCTTCTCGTTGCAGTGGCTTCTCTTGTTGCGGAGCACGGGCGCTAGGCACATGGGCTCAGTAGTTGTGGCTCGCGGGCTCTAGAGCACAGGCTCGGTAGTTGTGGCTCACGGGCTTAGTTGCTCCACGGCATGTGGGATCTTCCCGGACCAGGGCTCGAACCCGTGTCTCCTGCATTGGCAGGCAGATTCTTAACCACTGTGCCACCAGGGAAGTCCCTGCCCATATTCTTTTGAACTTACCAACAATCTTCCACATATTCAAGAAAAACACACCTCTCCTACCAGATCTGCCCTTTTCCATTTGGCAAAATCTGTTTTATTTTTTTATCCTTCTTCCTTCTGTTTTATAGAACATAAGCCAACATGGCAACAGGCTTTTTGTTTATTTCCTTCCTTTTCAAAAACAAAGTCATAGTTTGGATATAGTTAACAGGACAAGATCTATACAGAAAAAGACTTTTTGTAATTTTATGAAAGCCCCAGGTTTGATTTTTCTTAATGAAACCCTTGGCAAGCCTTATTATTATTCTTGTCGCTGTTACTTTTATATGGCGACATTTATAACATCAAAATATCTGTAAGGTGATTATAGTTTCGTATATTCAAATCCATCTGTATTTCATTTAATTATTAGAGGTAGATACAGTTATCTTATGTTTAATTACAAGAAAAGTGGGCCTTAGGGTGACCTGGTCAAGATCATGTGACAAGAATAAGCTGCTCAACTAGTATCAAACACAACTCTTCTTGTCACAAGGTCAAGCAAACTTTTCAGAACTCAAGATTTTAAATGCTTACAAAATAGTTACATAACTATTCAAGAAAGAAGATAGACTAAACAAAGTGTTAATTGCATAAATTAAACAATATGCAAAGAACAGCCCTTACTAACATGTAAGTTTCATAAGGGCAGAACCCTGTTTGTCTTTTTTGCTATATAATACCTAGTGCTATAAAGGTGCCCACGCAGAGCACAGAAATATTTGTTGAGTGAATTAATCATTTCTACCTTTGTCTCCTCTAACCTGAAATTTAAGAGAAAAAAAGACACAATGACCTGAACTATTTAAGCAGTTACTTTCTATGGTTTTTCCTCTTTAAAATTTATTATGGGAAATCTTAAACATATACAAAGGTAGAACAAATAATGAATTAAACCTCCATGCACCCAACAATTATCAACTCATAGCTAATATTTTCTCACTCAGTAGCTCCCTACTCTTACGATTCTTCTTTATTGGAGTCTAGTTGATTTATACTGTTGTGTTAGTTTCAGGTGTACAGCAAAGTGAATCAGTTATACGTACATATATATATATATATATATATATATATACACACACAAATATACATATATATATATATACATACCCACTCTTTTTTA